ACGTTTCGGAGGAACGTCGGTTAACACCACATATACACGGTGCCAAATCCCAGAAGACTGCTTTCTTCATAGTCACCGCCGTGAAAGCCTCAAATCTTACATATAATTAATTGTCTATTTATTGCAGTGCGCTACATTTGCTAATCCACGTGAAAGACGGTAATTTCTTCCTGTTGTGAAATAGCATATATGGTGCTGATATTCTAGAATTGACCGAATTGTCCTTTCCAAGTGTTATAAAGTTACCTTTTCACGCTTTTCCCCCGTAGTCTCTCAGTCGCTAAATCCGTATTTGGATTTTCAGCAATTATGTTTACAGTGGAAATGCAGAACGATTATTTTACTGAATGTTATCATAGAAAGGGGCGAAATGAATATTTACACGGGTAAGCAGGCTATGTAAGTGATATTTCACCCACCTTACACCACTCTTCACAAGCATTACATAACTTCATTTTGTCGGTTAATGTAAGTCTACAGATATCTTCGTGAGAAACCACCAGTTCTTACCACTAGTCCATATCTTGAGCCAATTAAAATGAAAACTAATAAATAGGCATATAGCTAAAATATATTTTCCTTGCCGTCTCTTTAAGAGCTTAAGCTATGTAGCTGAGTAGCTCACAATTTAAACTAAGCTGTATCTATGAATGGTTTGAGGCTGAAGGTTAAGTAACCAGCATGAAGCAGACAGCAGTCTACTTCATGCTGGTCTCTTGCTTGGCTTACTCTTCAATCCTGAAGTAAGATCGATATGCTGTTCCGAAACGTCTGTTGACTTTCAACCGATTACACGGCGCTATATCCCAGAAGATATGTCTCTTCCTTACTTTTATTAAATTTATTATGCATACTCTACGAAAAGCTAATATATTTTGCTGAGCAATATTCAGCATCCACTGAGGAGGAAACTGAACTTTCAGGGCCACATGTAGGGAGGTACACGGCATGCTGGCATTTCATCAATCTTGTAGCACTAATTAATAGCTAACATTGCATTTTCTGACATTACAGATGGCGTCCAGGCTTGGCCTCCGATAAATATTGTGCCGGTGACAGGTGCTACCTCCGTAGTCGACTTTTTATTGACGGTCTCGATTCGATTTTGTGGCCATTTTGATTAATAATCGAGCAACCGACCCCATACGTTTCTTGTAATCCGGTTGGATCTATCTGGTGAGTTAGAATATGATTCTGTTTTCTAAGGTACCTACCAATAGTAATGACAGGTCTGGGAAAGCGATTCTATCGCTGAACTACACGATGCAGTGGTTAGCGCTTCGTGATCATATCCAGGAACTTCGAACTCAAGTATCTACTGGGACACTGGTTACACCTTCAAAGGTTCTTCATGGTTTTCCCCGCTCTGCCCTAGAATCCCTGTTATATTCCTTGAAATAGACCACGACCTCTTTAAATATAATTTATATCAATTCGTCATCCACGATCATTCTAATGTTTAAGACTGTTTGTACTAAGCCCTGAAGAGCGTCAATTATTAAACAAGAAGTTCTGGGAAGAACGGTAGCATAGTTGGTTGAAGCATTATATTACAAGCCGGAAGGTCGCAGGTTCGATTTCCTATGAGGTAATTGGATTTTTCAGTTTTCCTAATCCTTCCAGCCGCACTGTGGCCCTGGGGCCGATTCAGCCTCTGGCAGAAATGAGTGCCAGGAATCTTTCTGGAGGCCAAGAGCGCTGGTACATAATATAATATAATAGGATTGTAAGGAAATTAACTAATCAATTAAAATGTAAATTCTAGCGTTTTTATAAATTTTAAAAAATTCAATTTATTTTGGAGAACTGGAAGTTAAATAACTCCACAATTATAACAGAGAGACATATAAGGTGAGCGAGTTACTTACTTCACCTATATTGAACGAAAAAATTCACAATCCAATAGTAAGTAGAGTAATGTTTCTTTGGAGTTTCCAAAATTTTAAAGGTATTTCAAGTGAGTAAACCTTCCCTGGGAGGCCCTCCACCACTATGCCACTTAGTCGAATTGGTGCCACAGTGTGGAAATATACAAACATACAGACACACACCATTCTTTATAGATGTAATAGATAATAGTTTCAGTTGATAAAAAGTTGAAATTATTGGCTTTATTGAAAAGAGATGACAGGGGAATTTAATTTACCTTGCAGAATTCAGAAGTTACTCAGATCAAGAGTGAAACGTTTTATTCGTGTTTAGCGAAATGTCTAGCTTTTAGCGCGGAAAGGATTGAATAATTACATATCCATCTCGCATATGTACTGAATTTAAATAACGTATCGTTTCTATCAGTTCTTTGTTCCAATACATGTTCATGCCGGCTGTATATTGTTTGAAGGGCACTGGAGAGGGATGTGATTGACTGTGAGTGACGTTGCTCCAGGGACTACGTCTGTTTCTGACAAACCACACGAGGCACTGTATCAGTCCGCATGACAACTGCCTGCTTACATTAAACCAACTTAACGCATTCAGCATCGACATGTGTTGTGGCACGTTACACTGCAGTTAATATTCCTAGCTACTTAGTGACATGCACACTAGTACGTTATTCTGCGTCATCGAAGACAAGTTTTGGAGATATTTTGAATTTTTAATTTAAATTTTTATAAAAAAAATTGCCTGGAATAAATATTCCAGGCAAAATATTCTGCATATTTTACCATCAAAACTACTGAACGTATTTCGATTAAATTTTGTATTTGGAGTGCAAGCTAAAAGTTGTTGGTAAAATAATAATTTTGGTATTCTGTAACTTATAACTACTACTTTACATGACATTGTAGTTGAAGTTAATAAGATTATGAAAAATAAAGAGCCCTTCTAGCAATACGTTAATACATTTTTTACACACCACTTTCGAAAGTACTGAATATCAAGGTTTGTAAGATTTTATCCATCGAAATGTCAAAACGTTAATACATATAACTTAGATTTGGATAGAATTCGATTACAGTCAGGTGGAGAATCCGCTAAGCTGACTGTTGTATTCTGGTAAGATAAGTAACTGAGTAGTACAGTCTCTCTCATTCACCATTCCACTTGAGCATGTGATCTACAAAGTTGCTTCTCACAATCAGGGTTCCCGGCCAGAATTTTTTATATATTCCTCACTTCTTCATGCGTGCCACATATCCCTATTAATCTTTCCTGAATTAAGCAGTTTAGCAGTATCAGATGAGAAGAATAAATTACGAAAAATCTTCGCTGTGTAACATCTCCACCATCCTTATCTTCATACGTATTCCAAAATGCTTTATCTATATAAGGCTTGTATAACTTACACTACACCGGGTAGACTTCTTACTGCAAAACACGGACAATGTGTAAAGACAGAAAGCCATTCGCTTCGTAAGCAGCACTTGAGATTAGGCAGCCTAGCCAGGGGGTGAGCAGAAGCCGTGAAATGTCGTGTGCATGTAGGTTTGAGAGAAACAAAGCTGCTACAATCTCTCGCTAGTCTACAAATAATTGAAGTGCAAGGTAACATGTTCTGTGGTGGAGTTGGTTAGCAAACTTCTTCTTACAATACATGGGATTTGCTAAGGGAGACTAAGACAGAATTACCATACTTCATTGTGCTCTGGGAATTATCTTTAACTAACCAAAGTAAATGACTACCTCCATGGAGCAGAGACTTTTCTGAGAAGTTTGCAGTCGACGAACTAATCAATACATTCCAAGTCATTTATGAACCTCGAAAGTTCATCATCACCTTCACAGAAACTCGCCTCTAGCCCATGTTCACACGCTTTTATCGAATTTAAGTCCATTTTGCTATTAACATTCACAACTAAGTTTACATGTCCAATGTGACTTTTTTCCATAATTTCTGACTAAAATATTCGATCATTCTCTTATCTCTCACATGCCCCACCGGTCTTAGTGATTCTGATTTCGTCACTGTTAAGATACTTGGTGATGGGCGCTCACTTAAAAATTACCCTAGTTGTTCCCTTTCCGTATATCAGTATCTACAGTGTTTTGGGAAATGGCTGATCGCAGGGTGAGGGATTTGGGAGTTGGTTCTACTGGTAATGTAATTAAAACCATTAATCTGAAAGCAGGAGTAGAAATAACTCCAAAAACGTTGGAAATATGAAATATATATCTGGCAATTGAAAATATCAAACAAAATACTGGAGTAAGAGCAAAAAGTCTGTGACGATGGTACATTAGTACAAATATTATGTTTTTGGACATTACCTATCGATTGGGTCCAACTGAATAGGTTTTACCTGAAGACGGAGACCGAATCCAATCTCCGAAACGTTGTGCTTTGAAAAATAAACAGGCAGGTTTTAGATAGGTCCGGAGACAGCGACTAGCTCTTTCGACTGGACCCAACTGAGTAGGTTTCACCTGAAGACAGAGACAGAATCCAGCCTCCGAAACGTTGTCTTGAAAAATAAACAGGGCGGTTTTTAGATACGGACAAGACGATGGATAATGTCCAAAAACATAATATTTGTACGATACTGGAATAATTAGTAAACCACTGTCACAGACCTTAAGAGAATTACTCCTTGCATGCTTTTCGTTGCATGTGCGTGCATTTCTTTTGCATGAAACTATATAATTTCTTCGACTTTCGGTATAGTTTAGAAATAGAATACTGAAAAAATTAAAGAAGAGAGTTTTTTTATTGCTAGTGGGGTGGGACTAAGTCCCTTGTACTGCGGCCACTTTTGGCCTATTGTACCAGCCCCAGATGATAGGTGAGGGTGATTGTGTAGCAATTGGTGGAATGAAGACTGGCAGAGGAGACAGAAGTACTCGGAGAAAACCTGCCCCAGCGCCACTTTGTCCACCACAAATCCCACTTGACCAGACCCGGGATCGAACCCGGGCCGCCACGATGGGAAACCAGCGACTAACCGCTTGAGCTGTGGCGCGGCCCCTAGAAGAGAAGGACCTCGAGGAGTAAAATGCAATATTTTACACCGAAAAATAAAATCACTGTAGACAAATTCGATAGGATCTGCGTGAAGGTGGGTTATTCTTCTTTCTCGCATTCGGTCCATAAACAGTGGTCGTCTAACCGAGCTAATTAGTACAAATGCTACCTGCATGTTTTCCATTAGTCTTTTCGCATTAACAGTGGACTGTGGAACTGCTAGGGCAATACAGTGGTTTTGTAAGTTTCAGCTCTAATTCGTAGGGGGACATAACCATTCAATAGCACCAAGCTTTAGAAGGCTGGATATAAGGCAATTAATACGCCAAACACAGGGACCTGGGAGCCATTCGCTATAGCAGAGTTACAACTGAAATTCACAAAAAAAATATATTATCTCAAGCATTGCGGCGAAGTTAATTAAAGCATGCATGTTAATATATCAGCACTTCAGCTATGCTATTTTCCATAATGCAATTTTCAGTTCAAGGTTTGCGGGGTTTACCATTGTCTTTCCTTATTAGTGGACAACAATTCAAAATAATATTTTATGATCTTTCTTCTATCATTATTTCTGTAAATTCTTACCGTCTTTGCAAGTGTCGATTTCTCTTTCGATATACCAATATAATTGACATTTGTCTAATATGAGAACGAGGAAATAATTTGAAAATTCTTAAAACTTGTGTGTTTCAGAAGAATACACCTGCTGTAATCTGTCTTTCTCAGTGTTTAAGTCTGATTATCCACAAAACAGAATATTGACATGACACCTGAGAACCAGAATAATGAGACCAGAAGAAATGGCTTTTGAAAGGGAACGGCCCGATAGACAACACGTGATAGCTGATTTCCGCAGCAACGAACAGGAACGCAGCAATAAGGGAACTGTTGGAAACGGTGTTTTCTACCTTGTCCGTGCCGAGGCTTTATAAGAGGATCCCACGTCGGTTGCGCTACCGAAGCAGGAGGTTCCCAAAAAAATCAATCAGGTAAGCCACTACCAATAGTGATGACTTCTAACATAAATGTTGTTCAGCTGTAAAGCGACTTAGAAGACCACGTCAAGGGATAGTACGAGATATACACGAAATAGAACCCATATTGTATTAAAAAAAAGGAAATGGCGGACTCTTCGGCCATGAAATTCTATCTGGAAAAAAATAATCTCCACCATTTTACCTTCTCTCCAAATTCCGAAGCGTGTCAGAAGAGTAGTTCGCCGTAAGGGGAGGACATGTGCTGAGGGTACTTGAGAGATATTGGGTGTGTAAGAGAAGCTGCTGACAGGAGGAGCGTCAGGACTTGCACTTGTTATCAGATATTATTAGAATGAATAAATATATCTTGTGCTGTACAGTTAGCTCGCATAGAGAAGAGTAGAAACGCAGAAAATAAATTTAGTCGCAAAACCTAAAGGAAAAGAGAATTCTTGGGAGCCGTAAGAGTTGACGCAAGGAAGATACTAAAAGGCATCTTGGAGAAGCAGAGTTCAGACGTGTGACATGTATTGAAATGGTTTCATGTAAGGTAGAACGTAAGGATATTGTGATGGTGGAGGTTTCTGAGGCCAAATTTTGTGTCAATTTATTGCGTTTCTTTGCTTAATACTTGTCACGGTGTCTGTCCTCCTTGAATTAATCACCCAAAAACGAAATATGCATAACAGGAAAGGAATTCTGTATGCATTTTTATGCTTTCCTTTGCTGTTTGTATGTCTCACAAATATACATCCTTTCTGAGATTTCACCATTAACGAAATCAAAACGTCGGCGTCATTCCGACGAGTTATAATAATCCACTATGTTTTGCGGACTACTGCAGCATAGGATACATATTTCTCGAACAGCCTGTGCTCCCATATTGATGGCCAGATAACAGAAGGAGCAGGGTCGGAAGTAGTGTGCCGCTGGGAAATTCAGGCCAAGACACTTCAACACTTTTGGAAGCTTTAATGGGCTTGTTAATATCACAACCTGCAGCACAGTATATTAATGGCAGCGCGGAAATCGGACGGGATGTTTTGGTTCTACTGTCAGGTAATTTGCCCCGCGGAGAACACATAGTCTGCTCCTCTTGCTGCATAATATTTTCTCTCCTTTACACCTACAGCTTCGTCTGAATACATAGTTGATCTTCCTCTGTCTCCTTGTTTTCTTTCTTCCTTCCTCTACGTATATTCGCTCAGTAGCTTAGTCGGATAATGATTAGACTACGCGCTCGAATGCGGTTGTTCGTGGTTCGATTTCAGGTAGGGGTAAGAGGTTCTTTCTTCTCCACAGCCTCCAGACGGACTGTGGGGCCCACCGACACTCCTAACAAATGGGTGCCCTTTCCCCCAGGGTAAAGCGACAGGGCATGAGTCTGAGCGCCCGCTTCCTTCTAGCGCCGAGATTAAGAACGGACCCTGTCTTCAAGGCGTGATGCTTAATTAAGCACAGGGGCAACTTACCTATCCATCCATTCGTATATCTTTATATCTGCTTATCAATCGTCATTTTTCTTTCTCGAGTCCTACAGAGATTGGAGATTACGTTTGGTGGTGAATAAGGAAAGCATAAGTATTTGGAACAGCGTCCACTAATACTTGCGTTTTAGGACGCCTGTTAACCATCAAGTGAGAGATATGGCACAGTCTGTGGAAGTAGGGTTTCTGAGATCCTAACCCCTCACAAATTACCTTACACCTACTTCCTCAATCTCACTAATCCCGTAAATTGCTCTCTCTGTCATCATATATCTCACGCTGTTCTTCATCATGTTGAAGGTAGTAATTACCAGCATCGAAGAACAGAGGCTTTCATCTTCATCGCCTTCCTCTCTTCTTTGATTTGAAACAAGGTTGGAGGGGCGTAATGCACACTGCATTACACAGAGTTTCCTCATGGGTGCTTGGTAGCATGAGGCCTGATTAGAGGCCTAAGTGAGCTCTAAAAATAGGGTAAGATTATTATTATTATTATTATTATTATTATTATTAGTAGTAGTAGTAGTAGTAGTAGTAGTAGCTATAGTAATAATACTAAAATGTAAAGCTGTCCCTGTCCTTAACTAATTAAGCACTACGCCATGGGGAGTGGTTGTATGCATGCACATTTTCTTGATCTTGGCACTAGCTGGAGGTGAGTGGTCAGCTTTACGCCCCGCCCGCTTTATCCCCGGGGAAAGAACCNCATCGCCTTCCTCTCTTCTTTGATTTGAAACAAGGTTGGAGGGGCGTAATGCACACCGCATTACACAGAGTTTCCACATGGGTGCTTGGTAGCATGAGGCCTGATTAGAGGCCTAAGTGAGCTCTAAAAATAAGGTAAGATTATTATTATTATTATTATTATTATTATTAGTAGTAGTAGTAGTAGTAGTAGTAGTAGTAGCTATAGTAATAATACTAAAATGTAAAGCTGTCCCTGTCCTTAACTAATTAAGCACTACGCCATGGGGAGTGGTTGTATGCATGCACATTTTCTTGATCTTGGCACTAGCTGGAGGTGATTGGTCAGCTTTACGCCCCGCCCGCTTTATCCCCGGGGAAAGAACCCCCGGTATCCATTGGATAGGAGGTTGGGTGGACCCAGAGCCGGTCTGGACGACTTCGAGAAGAGAAAATTCTTGACCGTGGTCAGCTTTACGCCCCGCCCGCTTTATCCCCGGGGAAAGAACCCCCGGTATCCATTGGATAGGAGGTTGGGTGGACCCAGAGCCGGTCTGGACGACTTGGAGAAGAGAAAATTCTAGACCCTACCGGAACTCGAACTCCGACCCCTCGGTTGTCCAGCCCGTAGCTAATCGCTATACCGACTACGCTATCAGTACTATAATTTATTTAAATTCGTCGAACAGAATATAAGAACTTCGGACTGTCGCAACGTTCCTAACTATTGACTTAAACAACACTTACTATGTAAGGCAGGATTTGTAGGCATGTGTATAATCTATCTCCATACAAAGCTTCACATATTTGTAATTCTGCATTTAAAGCAGCAAAATTTTCTTCTGTTGGGAATAAGGAAAAATTGCCTGATCAGTGGAAGCAGTCTGTTGTACTAACTCACAAGAAGGGCGATAAATCTGGCTGCAGTAATTATCGGGGGATATCACTGCTATCAGCTTCATGCAAAAAGTTATCTAATATCGTTCCCTCAAGGTTAAGTCCATATATAGATGAAATTACTGGGGATCATCTTTGTGGGTTTCGACGTAACAGATCAACTACTGATCAGATTGTTTGCATTCGTCAGATAATGGATAAAATTTGGAGTACACTGAGACAGTAGATAACTACTGATACACTTCAAGTAAGCCTATCATTCAGTTAGGAGGGAATTATTGTACAATATTCTGACAAGAGTTTGGGATAAACAAGAAACTAGTTAGGCTGATTAAAATGTGTTTAAATGAAACGTGTAGTAAAGTCCATTTGTAGTTAAACTTTTGTCTGATAATTTTCCTATCCAGAATGGTCTAAAACAAGGAGATGCTTTATCGCCACTGCTTTTCAACCTTGCTTTAAAATATGCAATTAGGAAGGTCCACGAAAATCAAGTGGGACTGAAATTAAATGGGACACTTTCATGAAATCCCAATGTTCATTTCCACGTTCACAAATTCCGTCATGGGTGGAACTCATGAAACGCAGCTCCTGAGTAGTATGCAATCCTTTTTTTTTTTAATGCAGAAGAGCTAATTTGATTGCCAGCTTCAAGATCGGCTTACCGAAACTCATTTCTTGCGGGCCTGTACTGGAATGATGATTTAAAATATTCCACAGTGCTTCCTGATACGTTCTTCCCAATTCACTTTACGCATTCTAGGAAATGACAGCCATCTTGACAGGAGACGGACGAGGAAAACTGTTTCAGCGAGGATGCTGCACAGATTCAGCTTAGAGCAGAGATGGTGGACAGAGTGGAATTTTATTGGCTGAGGAAGCGTTAATATCAGATACTAGTGCCAATAATTCATGCCACTCAGAATCTGTATTAACAAAGGAAATGTCTGTTAGAGACGGCTTGATCTACGAGTGCTACATCTGTAGACTGCTCTGCAGTGATCACAGGTGATCACATTTTCTGCCGTTCGTGGGACCCGAACGTTAGTGCCATTGATCAGAAGGATCCACTACTTTTCACTATCCCTAGCCAGCTGAAGTCACTCCACAGCTTCATATCGTATTTCTTTCGATCCATTTTAATATTGTCGCGGGAGATGAGCGCGGTGGGATTGTGTCGCATAGCGTCTGTGCCCCTGCCATTCTGTACTGTATGGGATGTTCTGAAATCGGAGGTCCTGCCCTCATATACCCTTAACCTATATTATTCTTCTCCTAATGTGAGAGACTTCAGTTTCATACGCATCCAGAACAAGTCGAATTGCATTTACGTATATTTTAAATGTCATATTTTATATCTATGAGACGAAAGGAGTCGGAATAGATCAGTCGGTATAGCGACGGGCTACGGGCTTGACGGCTCGGGTTTTATTCCAGACAGCGCAAATTTCTATCTTCACCACAGCGTCCAGGCGGGCTCTGGGGCCCACCTAGCCTCTTATCTAGTGGGCACGTGAAGGCAGCGCCATAGCTCAAGCGGTTAGTCGCTGGCTTCCCACCGCGGCGGCCCGGGTTCGATCCCGGGTGTGGTCAAGTGGGATTTGTGGTGGACAGAGTGGTGCTGGGGCGGGTTTTCCCCCGAGTACTTCGGTTTCCCCTGCCAGTCTTCATTCCACCAAATTCTCCATCATCATAATCACCCGGGGCAGGCTACAATAGGCTAATCAGTGGCAGCCGTGCCGAGTGGACCCAGTTGGACTCCACCCCCTCACTAAGCGAATTAAAAAAAATATTAGTTGGCACGTGGGGCCCTGTCCCGAGGAGTAAAGCGGTAGGGTTGTGAATGTGACCACTCACCTTCATCTAGTGCCGGCGTCAAGAGTGATGGAGCTATACCTCCGCTCCCCCATATGTATTCATGGCATGGTGCTTCACTTATTAAGCGCAGGGATAACATTTTTTATATATGAGTTGAAAAGGGAAAGGACACTGACTGAAGGGTAAAAGCGCTTGGATCCTTCCAAGGAATTCATTCAAGTCCGAGGCCATGTGGACCATCCCGCGACATGGCAAATGACACATTGGATGATTATTCGCCTCACCCATAACCAGAAATTTGGAGGATCTCCCATTGTCACTGTCCGAGGCTGTATGTTTAACTTATCCGCACTTACCCTTCAGATCTAGAGAGTCTCCCCCCCATCCGCAACGTCACGAGCCATCAGTACTGACAAGGGACCTGCTTGTTTAAGAATGGTTCACAAATAGGAGCGGGAGCCTCTTCAGCCCTGTTCTGTCATCTCATTGGTCTGTGTTGCTGTTTCGCTGCTATTGAAACTTGGGCCAGTAGATTCCTCATGTATTTCTAATTGCGCATTTCAGAGTTTATAATTGCATTGTTAATGCAACGGGTACCGAGGGTTTTGCCAGGAGATAAAGCGGTAGGGTGTGAAGCTAACCACTCATGCGGATTTATACCTTAACTCCCCCATACGACCTTACCGCCATCTTTGAGCCGATTGTCTAGATAAGTGTTTCTCAACCGCCGGGCCGCGGCCCGGTACTAGGTTCCGACATCATTTATACCGGACCCTTGTCTTATAGAAAAAGGAATTTACCGGGCCGCGTTCTGACAAAGGTTGAGAACCACTGGTCTAGATAGTGTGGGAGCCTCAACGTCTCACAATCTTATGGGCCTTCACGGCCTGGTACAGGGATAGCTTTTCTTTACTATATTTTACTTTTACTCCCTCATACGTACCCTTGGTATGGTGCTTAAAATCGTATATCCGTTGCTAGGGAACATCTAAGTAAACACGTTCCTGCGAAGAAAATTTCTTGGCCAACAATAGGAAAAGGGCTTTCCATTGCTATGCAACGAACAGTAAACAAGTTTCGTCAACTATAGAGGCCGTGTTTTCTATGTGGTCTATGCCGAGCCTATATAGGAGGCAGTGAAGAATGTTCGTGAGGGTCAAGCTGTGGAGGCGGGGTCGAATACCTCGACTGTGACCTTTCGAGTCGTAGGAGGCGACGAAAAGAGAAATCTGAAATCTGAGACAGTAAAATATGGTCTCGAATTCCAAGGGACTCGGACCCGAGAAAGACTGCCCTGGCAAGGACCAGTTGCATATACAAAATACAGACCCATCCTCTCGTCAGAGGGGGCGCCCTACGAAAACAAGACCGTAACTGTCGAACAGCAATAATCGACACCAAGACTTACTGACTGACTGACCGTCAGTCTCAATGTGACTTCGTGAGAATTCGTCAGAAAGACGTTGTTCAAGGCAGTTCAGTAGTTGACGTGTTAATCTTGAGAGTGTATAGATACAGTAAACTTGAAATTATCCAATAAATCGAGTTATGAAATCCGGGACGCATTATTTACTGTCGCGTTCTCAGAATACACGCGAAAATGTTATTCACGAGGACACCTTACTTTTACATCTTTCTTTTGTATATATTTCTTATTAGTGTTGTGCCTTCTCAAAACGGCCATATTCATCGTAGAATATTATTTGTTTGGGTCTTTTGGCATTTAGTAGCTCATTTTTGTAATATCGAACATCAGTTAAATTTTTCTGTGAACAGTGACACATATTACAGAAAGAAGCTTTAAAGAAAAGAATAACTGAACACGAAGCACAATATGAGGATTCACTGTGTATAGATATGTCTGACGTACACATCGTAAAAGTGTAAAAGTTGTATGTGATTTTGTGTGCTGTGAGACGTTGAACTAGGGTTCAGTATGCCGCTGACTGGAAGCAATGGAGAAAGGCTGCTGCAGACTACAGACAGAGTGCAAGACGTACAAATGGATGGTATCGATTTCATACCAAGCTCTCTTAATAATGACGGTTATAATCAAAGAGATCTAAAAAAGGCTAACAGAAAAATGCGAGATTCTATCCTGTTCTGTCTGCCTTATCTTTGGCACTCCACTGTTGAGGCAATTTGATAGAACTAGTAAACACCACGCAGACTGTTCAGCTTGTTTTCTGGAATGATAGAAGCTAATTCTGCCTTATTTTAAACCATGACGCACATTAGAAATATTAAGCAACAGGATCCTCATAATTTTATTACTGAACAAATAGTGTAAACAAGATGAAATCATGTAGAATTAGATTGGTTGGCCATGCAGTATTGATGGAAAAGACATGTGTGCATGTGTTCTGGAGCCCACCCAGCATCTTATCCAATGGATACCGGTGGCTCTTCCCCCGGGGGTAAAGCGACAAGAGCGTGAAACT